ACACATAAACAAGTAGAGCCACAATTATCTGTGCCGTGTAGTCAGTATGGCAAGGCAACTCTAGGCTGAGCGTTATTAAATTACTAATACACAGGTCACTCCTTTGATTTGGTAGAATGTGTAACGTCTTGCAAAGAGAAAGCCTGAGTATAAGTTGCTTAAGTGACTTATGTCAAGAAGATCTGAGGATGCCAGTTTCTCAAGGGAAGGACCAGTGGACTTCCTCTGGAGAGCTCCGGGTTCAGGCTGGATCCCTTGAGCATTAAAACAGTAGACCAAATGCTGAGTTGAATTCTTTTTATTCTTTCCCTCCCTCCCTCCTTCGCTTTCTCCTCTGTTTCAGGCATGCTTCTAAGCACCAGCCCTGGTCGTAACTTCAGCCTAGGGGTCCTACTTTTGCCTTTTGGAGACACATGGAGCAAGTATGAAGCGGATAGCCTTGCATAGATATGAAGATATCTCATATGTCTCCTCCGACACTTCTTTCTTTTTGAATCTCTCTCTTTCCATTATTCCTTTCACCCATCTCTCTATTTATCTCCTCACCCCCATGTCCACTGCAGTTAATTACTGACCTATCTCTCCAGAGTTAATCTAAGTGCACTTTCCCCCTCCTTTATACGAAAGGTAGCATGTTATTCACACTGTTCTGTGCTTTGTTGTTGTTTTTCTCTCCCTAATTCAGGAAGAAGAAAGATTTATCTTTCTTTCCCCAGTGGCAGACTATTCCATCATATGGACACTGTTTTCAATATTGCTTTGGGATTTTTTTAACCAGTTTTCTTGTGATGGACGTTTGGGTCATTTTCAACCTTTTAAACTGAAAACTACATTGAATAACTTGGCACATATGTTATTTTGCACATGTGCTAGGGCATCTGTGGGATAATTCCCAGAAGTGGAATTGCTGAATAAAAGCAATTATAACTTGGATAGACAGGGCCACAGTCTTCCACAGGGAGTGTTGTACCAATTCCTGCTCCCTGCTTCTGACATCCTCAGGGCAAGGAGGTGGGGAAAGTCAGCCCCTGGTCAAGGCAACAAGGGATGCATCATCCGTACAAAACTTAAAAGCCAATAATAAAACCAATTAAAACTTGGTGTGCTTCTTTTTGACACCATGAACTGGAAATTCTACAGTTAGTGATAAAATATTTCACTCACCTCCCCCACCCCTGCCAAATCTTTGATTGGCTTAAATTCCAAGTGATTGCTGTGTTACTGTCGATTTTTAATAAGCTACGTGGAATCGTTGGAAATTAATTTGGAGGATTCGCAGTTACACAGTCGGCCCCTGTCAGATTTAGCTGTTAGTGTTGTCGAGGAAGAGGGAAAGTGTTCTAGAATCAGAGTGTGCAGGTCAATGGGGCTCAATTTGAGGGCAGTTGTGTCTCCAGCTGCCAGGGTCCTACACTGCCTGTGTCTCAACAGTAGTTCCAAAC